GCTATTTGTTAATGCTACATTGATACTGGATGTAGCCTGCTAGCTGCTAACACTATATGGGTGCTGGATGTAGCCTACTAGCTGCTAACACTATATGGGTGCTGGATGTAGCCTACTAGCTGCTAATGCTATATGGGTGCTGGATGTAGCCTGCTACCTGCTAATGCTATATGGGTGCTGGATGTAGCCTGCTAGCTGCTAATGCTACATGGATGACGAATGTAGCCTGCTAGCTGCTAATGCTGCATGTATGTAGCATTACAACACAGCTTTTCTTCGCCAAAGCTTCATGCGTTAAAGCTGCATTCTCTCTAGTGTCCACCAGGGGGCGACTCCTCTGGTTGTATAGAAGTCTATGAGAAAATGACTCTACTTCTCTCTTGATTTATTACCTCAGTAAACATTGTAAACATGAGTTTATGGTCTCAATCTCTAGTTTCAAGTCTTCTATGAAGTCCTGTAACAGCTGATGCTAAAACTTGTTTTTGTGCGTTTTCATTATCAGTTTTAATAACTAAAGAAAGAAATCTTGTTTTCATGTTAAAACTGGGAATACCTTCAATCAGGTCGGCAGAAAACAAAGTGCAGGATATCTAATTTATTTAATGCCTTTATTTATAAAATATCTTATTTATTTTGTTCTCGTACTCGTGCACGTCTTTCCTCAGCATTACGTGGTCGTCCAACGACACAGAGACATTATTACCAAACAAATTCAACATCTCGGCCGTATCATCTTGAATTAGGAGGCTCATTAGCATACTAAACTGATTCTGGTGGCCATGTTTCTGAACCCAAACCGGATTATCGTGCAGGACAACAACAACAAGAGGAAACGTTGGCATCAGGTTACGATTAGCTGTGACTTCTCACATCTGGGGGTTGTTAATCTCAGGGGGCCGAGGCGGGAGGAGACAGGAAGTCACGGTGAAGGAAGCATCACAGGATAGATCTCTGCAGCCGTAACATCTTTCTCTCTGCACACCGTTCTCTGACGTCGGACCGTTGCTTTGGGCTCATTTCATGTCGTTGGTGCTTCCGTGACTTCCTGTGTGTCTTTCCAGTAGCAGCTCCGTGACCCGGGCGATGACATCCGGGTGCAGCAGACAGTCCAGCAGGTCGTTAGTGGTTATGGTGGCGAGTACGAGCTCCTCGTGGGTCCCATCTGCAGGGCCAGCTGGTCTACATCGAGTTAAACCGTCTCTACATTCTTCTTCCTCCACTTGGGATTGGACCTCCAGATGTTTCGTGGTTTCCGGTAAGACCGCGATGAGATGTGGTCCAAAGGGAACCCTGAAGGCCACAGAATCCTTGATTCTTTCCTTTATTTGTCCTCCAGAGTCCCGCTTGAGCGGACCGGCGTCTCTCTGGTCCCGGGTCGGTTTGTTGTGTCTTTGAGCACAAGCTCTCAGGGCCAGGTTCACACTCTGCATGTTGTCCTGATGGGACGCTACGCCGTCCTGCAGGAACACAACACACACCAGATAGTACAGAGAGTTCCTTTAGAATAAGCGAGTCTCTGATGTCTATTACAGCACATTCCTGAAGTCGTGGAGAGGTCATTGTATTCCACCAGATGCCACGCTCACTTCAACGTTCAGCTGAACTACTATTATATTAATGTCGTATAGATAGAATTCCTTGAATAGTGAGAAGCGAGTCAAATATTTAACTTTTTCTGACGTCAGCCTTATAAAATGCCTACAGTTGGTGTTTTTGGTTGTTCTTGACCTTCTGTAATAACAATGGAACTATAGATGTGAGGAGGTAATAACCTTCATCACCTCAGTGGGGTTGAGCCAGTCGTCGGTGTCGTCGTCTCTTTTAAAGGCGCAGGCCACGGTCCTGGTCACGGCCTCGCCGACTCGCTCCACGTCGTCCTCTTCCTGTGTCGGAGCAGAGAAACCAGAACATGAAGAACACGAAGACCTAAAAGATCACACGATGGAGACGCTTTGATCTGTGACCTTACAGGAGCTCCTCAGGACCAAGAGGAGCTACGGAAGCCCTGAGAGGACAGTGAGAACAAAATAATCAAAGTGTTTATAACTGAAGAACGGGGTTAAACAATGATTGTTTTATTGTTCTGGGATAATCTGTAAAGTTACTTTACGTTTATTATCATCTGTGAAAACCAGTGAAAAAGTCTCAAACCTCAACAATAATAATAATAATAATAATAATAATAATAATAACAACAACAACTTTATTTATATGGCACCTTTAAGTTTACAAAGTGCTTTGACAGACAAAGCAGCAAAAACAAGACACTAACAACAGAAAGCTCAGTGAGACAGTCGATAGAAATAAACTGATGAATAAATTAAATAAATTAATAAATTAATAAAAACATTTAGTAAAATCAACAAATAAAACTGTTTTACCAGGATACATTTACAAAGTTACTTTTTTTTCGTCACTAAAACAACAACAAACAAAGTTTTGACGGGTATTTTAAGAGTTATTTGTTGTCGTATTCTGTTCATAAGAGGCTGAAGTGAACACCACTCACTCCTTCATGCAGTCTGAACACAAAGTAAATATAATATTGTGTTTTAGCAAGTTATCTAAATAAAAAGGTCACCTGGAGAACATTAATGCTTTTAGTCCTCATTAAATGGTTAAATCTTGGCACTATTGTTTAGTTGGTTCATTTAATATTATTATATTTTTGTTGTATATATTGTGCATTTTTATATTTAATATGTTCTACTCTGTTATTGTTGCTTTAACATAAATGCTGCTGTAGTGAAAACATTTCCCCTGTGGGATTAACGTACAGATCTATTAAAACATGGATCAGTGCTGCACTTCAGCCTCTTGTGGCCGGAACGAGTATTACAACAATAAATACCTGCACAAAATAATAATATACATATATGTAAAAATCACCTGCCAAAACGTTATTTACTGGTTTTCACAGATGGAAAAAAAGAATGATCATAAAAATGATGCTCGCATTTGTTGTCACCTGTTCTTTCGTCACAAACAGCTGGAATGAGCTTCCGTACTGAACAGACATGATTTATTCTCACCAGCTCGATCCAGGAGTTGACGCTGACCGTGACGGGGTCCAGAGACTCCACATAGTGCCACCAGTGTCTGGGGACATAAAGCACCTGAACAGGTACAAACACATCACTCACCTGCAGACACAGCTGTACTGATACCAGCCACTAGAGGGCAGCAGACCCCTCACTCATTCATACTGTGACCTGATTAAAACACATTGATTTACTGCCTCCTCAGCATTCACAGGACAAAAGGAATCATCTTTTGATTTACAGACGTGGAGCCAAAACTATTCATTCTGTTTAAAGTAGTTCTAAGAGAATCATCCAAGTCAAGTTTCTCACTGATTTGGAGATTTAAGGCCAAAGGTCAATAATTAACATCCAGAGGGACCGCAGGACTCGACAAGAAGCTCTTTCTGTCCAAAAATGGAAAATCTATAGATAATAAATAAATACAATCAACAGAGATTCAAACAATTGGAGAAGAAAAAAAGTTTTAAAAAAATGCTAAAATGTTATTTAATTTCCATTTTAAGGGTTATTTGCAAAAAAAATACATAATTCAAATGATTAGGAAATAAATGATTGTAGTTTTATTTTAATGAACATTTTTTGGGGTCATTATTATTTTTAATGAAGTGTAATAATGAGCTTAGAGCTCCATCCATCCATCCATCCATTTTCCTCCTCTTATCCGGGGTCGGGTCGCGGTGGCAGCAGGCCGACCCAGACTTCCCTCTCACCGGCAACATGTTCCAGCTCATTCTGGGGGATCCCGAGGCGTTCCCAGGCCAGCTGGGAGATGTAATCCCTCCAGCGTGTTCTGGGTCTTCCCCGGGGTCTCTTCCCAGTTGGACGTGCCTGGAAAACCTCCAGTGGGAGGCGTCCAGGAGGCATCCTAATTAGATGCTGAACCACCTCAGCTGACTCCTGTCGACGCGAAGGAGTAGCGGCTCTACTCCAAGCTCCCTCCTGATGACCGAGCTCCTTACCCTATCTCTAAGGCTGAGCCCGGCCACCCTACGGAGGAAGCTCATTTCGGCCGCTTGTAGCCGCGACCTTGTCCTTTCGGTCACGACCCAGAGTTCGTGACCATTATTCTACTCTTATGTCTACTGAAGTTCTTTAAATGACAAACGTTTTTATCTCATGAAATGAAATTTAACACCTTCAGAGAAACTGCTTTTATATTTCTGGCCCAAGAACATAATGAGTTTTCCGGTCCCATTTAGCAGATAATGTGATGATATTTCTATATTATTAAAATCAAGAGTCCTGACCTGGCCAGGCTGCAGAGTGACGACGTGCGCTCTGGATCCATGAAACGCTGGGAACCTCCTCAGGTCCGGGTGGACCACGTGGACCCGGCTGAAGACGCTGGACTCCTCGTAGGGGATCCTGGTCGGGTAGAGGTTCACGGTGTCCTCTGGAGGAAACAGGTGCCAGCGCTTCCTACCGAAGGAAACCACTGTTAGAAGTTAATCCAGATGTTTGGTCGGGAGGTTAAGGAGCTCCTCTGGGGTCACGTGGTCAAGTCAAATATGCATGTTTTGGTATCGTTAGAAAGATAAACTTCTTCTCTTTCATTTGAACACGTTTCTTTTAGACGAGATGTCACTGGATGATGGATAGTAAACAGATTTCTGTGTGCACTATGAGCTCTAGGAATAAAACCATAGACTGTGTAAATGTAAGTATAAAAGTTTCTGTTGTGAAGCTCAGTGTGTCGTCCCAGTTTAACTCTAGAAATGGTCAAAGAGGAGGGTTGTACCAATTGTATTATTCATAGAAATAAAACAGGAGTCTAACAGACTTTGAACTGTTTTCAGTTATCACTCGACGAGTACAAAAGAAAATGGCGACTGTAGTTTTTATGACAATAAACCACATCAGTGGGGCGGTAAAGTGTTACAGCTCGCTGGGAGGAGAGCGGACGCATCGCCAAAGATGGATATCTGGATAGCTAACGTTAGCTAGCTTGTCTTTCTCCAGAGTGGCGTGGAGTGAGGCGGAGTTCGACCCACCGCTGCTGCTGGACACAAACCTGCTGTTTGGCTCATTTCCACTGCAGCATAAAATCATGCGGGAATTTAAAAAAACTAGCTAATTAGCCAGCTAG